GATATTAACACTCACCGAAAGAGACCCCAAAGAGGGTGACGCAGGAGAGAAGCCGCAGCAAGGCCATGATGCTAGTCGGGACGGTGGGCGCCTGCTCCGGGCCCTTTTACATCCCCTGGGAGCCCTTGTCCCGCCCCAGCCCTCTGGGCCTCCCTGACCTGAAGGTCACCCTCCCCTTGATCAAACCATCCTGGATAGGCTCAGCCCAGGTCACCCCAGGACCAGGCAAAAGGGCAGCTCCCGGCTCACTGTCACCCATCAGCCCGGGAACCCCTGGGGGAAGCTCCCAGCTGTGGGCCCCGCAGGCCCTGGGCCCATCATGGGGGCAGCGGGTGCTCATCAAAGACTCATCTAAGGAGACTCACCCTTCTGTCCTGGGCACCCAGAGTCAGCACCCAGGACTCAATTGCACAACAGCCCCCAGAACCCGGGGCCACAGGCTGCTTCTCTACCTGCTCAGGGAAACTCCCTGAGGCCAGAAACACAGCAGGCCCAGCCCCTCAGGAATGGCCTCAGAGCTGCCCAGACACACAGGCTGGAGCGCAGGAGGCCGGACATTACCTCACGGGCTTAGCTGCTCTCCCCGATTCTTGAGAATTCACCAGTTTTTGACTTGTCATTATAAAAACTTTTAAGTTATTGTCAGCTGAATCCTTGAATACTCACCATAAAAGGCCCAGTGGGGACCCAGAAAGCTCCAGGCTGGTATCAGGACAAGGAGGAGAGCCCAGGAGGCCAGGATTGGGGTGTCTGGGGCCCTGCCCCAAGGGGGGCCACAGGACCAGCCTCCTGGGTATCTGCTGGTGTCTACAAAGACTGGCTGCAGCTGGAAAGACTAGACAGAAGCTATTGAGTGTTTTATTATTTTTTAAATACTTTAGTTTGCAAAGTTGAATATTTTTGCTGCTGATACCAACTTTCCACCTGGTATCTGGAGTTCTATCATTTTCTGTTGCTTGTCTTCGTTTTCACCATTTTGTTACCAAGAAGCCTCATCCCTCTATCTATGAGAACAGGGTACCAGCCTTCATATAATGTCCAAGGAGGTCAGAGTTTACACCAGTAATGGCCTTGATCCTGGGTAGTGGAAAATTTCTAATGTAAATAACCCTTTTTCTTTTTCTTTCTATTCTGAGCCTTGATAACCCAGAGACTCTCAACACTTTTCCACCAGAAACAGAACACACTGCACCTATCCTGGAGAAACCTGAGAACCATGACCTAAGCCCAACTAGCCCGAGACCAAAGTCCAACTGGATAGTACAAGGGGAAGGACCACCCCAAGGTAGAGGACACCACTCACAGCCAAGCGAACCCCATTCACCACTGGGGTGGACGCCATCTCATTTGACATAGTCCTAGCCCAGGACTCACTGTTGGACATTCTAGAGATAACAGCCAGGACAGATAAGTGCACATGCAAAATCTCCACCATGGAACCCACATCTTTGAACAGACCCACTGTTCACTCATCTATTTCCAGGATGGATGCTCCACTCAGAGCAAAGCCTTCAGCCTGGACTGAGGCTGCTCTGTGTGCTGTTATGGGATGGGCCACTCTAACCCTACTGAGGTGGGCTCCACTGGCCAGACTCTGTCCCAGATGGACCCAACCTGCTCCCCAGGCTGTGAGGGCCCCACCATGGCCGGTACCTGAGTCACAGGGGAGGCAGGGAAGCCCCTGCCGTGGGCATTAAATGGTCCAGTCCTGTGCCTCACAGACAGCTGTGGAGAAGAGTCACCCCCAGACTCCCGACTAGATGAGACCCGGCCCCTATCTCCCACTCCTTTGATTCCCTGATCACAGAGATGTAGGAAAAGGGACATTTCCTCCATTTGTTTTTTCTTCCTGCACTTTTATTCCACCATATAGTTAAAAATCATCCAGTAAAAGTGAGCCCCACTATCAGGACCCTGAACCTAACCCCATTTGAAATGCCCAGGGGCACTAAGCTTTTCACTCAGCCCACACCCCCTCACTGAGTGACCCTAGGCCTGCCCTGTTCCCTCAGGAGCTGTGAGTAATGAACTTGCTGTTTCTAGATCCCCGAAGGCTCTTACTAGTGGAGACTTAAATCACTCACAAGAAGCTCAAGGGCTGGTCCAGCCATAGCAGTGGTTTTGAAAGGGGGTGTCGGGAGGGGTGGCTCACTCTGGTAAGAATCCCAGCCAAGAGAGACAAAATGCAAGGTTGAAATACTTAAGAATTAAAAACACTCTAGATAAATTCTGAATAAGGTGATAATCAAAGGGGAAATTAGAAAAGCAATTGAAGTAAAGGACATGAAAATACCCCCCTTCAAAATGTGTGGGAAGCTGCTCACTCGGTGAACAAAAATATACATCGATGTTTTTAGTGATAGACATCAAAGCTTTTATTGAAAAAGTTTAAAGTCAATGGCCTATGTTCAGACTTATAAATCAGGAGTCGAAAAACAACACGCAATAATGACCTATGAAGCACAGGAGAATGAGTTTACAACAAAACACCCCAGAACTGGTGTGCAGAGGGGCAGGAATGTGAAGCTGGCAGTAATGAGATAGGTAAACACCCCTTGCCTGCCTGAAGCCTGAGTTAACACTGCCCACCTTCCAGCATGTTCCCTAGCAGGGCCCCTTGACCTGCCTGAAAATGTTTCCAGATCTGGCTCAGAGGCTCCTGGGCTGGCTCCTTGGCCTTGGGCAGCTGTCCAGGGACAACACTGCCTCCTGGTGGCCACATTTGTAAGGACACACCTCCCTTTACTGCCCCCTCAGGGGTCCCTCACCCAGGGGGAGGCCCGGTCTCCTCCTCCCCAAGCAGCAAGGAATTCTGACTCCAGCTCAGGGTCTTTCAAGTGCTCACTCACAGGAATCACCTGGAGCTTTGGGACCAGCTCTGGGCCTCCCCTTCACTGACCCTTAATTGGTTCCTAACGGGCTGTGGGTGTGCCGGGTTCTCCCCAGGCCTGTGCTTTGGGGCAGCAGAGGCCGCCCTGCCCCCCAGACAGACAGGTGCCCTGGGCCACAGGACAGGGGCAGACACCCTGTGGGGACAGGAGCCCAGGGCGACAGGGACACCCCCCACCCCTGCTCCCCTGGGCCTCTGGGTGGGTCCCCAGGCCTGAGCAGGTGCAGGGGCAGTGATGAGCTCAGGGTCTGGCTCCCCTCACATCCTGGGCTCAGGCCCTGGCGCCTCTGGCCTCTCCCCTGTGTGCAGGACGCGCTCCCAGGACTTTCTAACTGACAAATATTTGAGTATAGCTCTCTGAAGGAACATTTTCCTTCAGAAAATACTATAGCTGGTCAACAGTGACAGGACCCCATGACCTTTCCTGAGAAGCTCGCAGAGGAGCCCGGCTTCCCATGGGCCAGACACACATGAGGACCGGGCTGACCGCATACACAGGGTTCTGAGCCATCCAGATGCAGTGGGATAAAGGAGACACATGTCAGGGCACTCTGGGAATGGGAGGACATTTTAAAATGGGGAGACAATTGGATTTGAAGCAGGGAAGGGAGAAGACTGCATAGGTATGGGGTGGGAGTGCAGGGGCCGCAAGGCAGAGAGAGGTGCCTGGAGCATGTGGGGAGGGACAGCCCAGACCGGGGGTACTCTTGGTCCCAGGCCCACCCTGCTGGGAGGACTCATGGCCTTCTGCTCTCCCGCCTTCCACAGAGCTCCTTGGACCAAGCCCAACTACCAAAGGAGCAGAAACCAGGCAAGAAATGAGGCTGCATCAGGTGTGTGGACTCTCCCCAGGGGGCCCTGAGCAGGGAGGCCCAGACCAAAGGCCTCAGCTCCTGACAAACAGGGGCTCTGGGCTCTGAGCTGGAAAGGGAGGGGCACGCCGCCCCCTGGTGGGGGACAGGGGTACTGCAGCCACCGCCCCAGGCACAGACCTACCAGCAGTCAGGGCTCTGTGCAGGGGCTTTATTGGGGATCAAGGGCGCAGCAGTGGGTGCATGGGTGTTAATTTTGGGCCATGGTGGCCTTCACCCAGCGTTTGAATTTAGTGAACAGGGTGGCCACAAACGGTATGACAGTGGGTTTATCTTCATGAACAAAGGACACAATGCCGACGAGGGTCCACATTCCATACTTGATACAGACCACGGAGCTTCCAGAATCCCCCTGTGGAAGGAGAGGACCCGTTCTCAACCCAGAAAGGGACAGTGGGACTGACCACATGTGTCCTGACCTGTGCTGCCGAAAACACCAGGTGGAATGAGGATCCAGCAGCTGAAATTCTACTTCAGGTAGCAGCGTAACTGCCTCCTGCAGTGAGACAGGGAGCAGAAGGTGGGAGTTGCAGCCCTGGTCTGTCTGTCCATTAGAATTCGTAGCCCAGGCTAGCTGTGAGAGTAATGCCCCTGGACGGTGGGCTGGATCTGCTTCCACGAAACAAGGATAGAGACTGCAGGGCCCGGGAGGAATTGCCCCCCATGACCGGGGATGGATCAGAGAAACACTTACGACATAGGAGCCAGCACCGTTCGCCCCCACACAGATCATGTCCCTGGGGATGAATTTCCAGTGCTTCTTGCACTTGTCCTTGGGCAGGAGGTGCACGGTGGCCTGCTGCAGCTTGATGGGGAGCTGGCTGCCTGTGCAGACAGAGATCCCGATCCTCTGAGCCCGTCCCGATGTAGGAGGACACGGCCCCCAATGTAGCCACCCGTGGGCCCCCTCTTCCTACACCAGCAACAGGGTACAGGACCGGAACCCTACGCGCCATTAACATCAGAAGCCTCAGAGGACATGGTCCCTGGGATTCCAGCCGAGGCCAGGCTGACTTGGCTCCAAGCACAGAGCAGGAACAGGCCCTCCCTCCCAGCCTGCTGTGGCTTGGCCTGCCAACCCCATGGGGGACACAGAGCAGCAGGTTCCTGTCTTGGGAAGGGGACACAGCCCTCTGATTGGAGACCCCACTCTGAGGATGACAGGGACCTTCCCCACTGCCACTCTGGTGGCTGCTGTCCTGTGGAAGGACCAGCCGGGTAGCCCTGGCCTGGGCAGACAGACTCAGGACCCGGCCAGGCCCAGGAGGGGGCATGGGGCTGGACTCTCAGGGCCTGAACTGGAGTCTCCTCTGCCTGCAGGAAAGGGCAGGTGGCTGCACCGCTGCCCACTCAGGCCTGGGGGGGTCCAGGATGGTCACTGTACATGGGATGGCTCAAGGCCGGCAGGTTCTAGCTGTTAAGACCTGGCAGTTCAAGTGCATTCTAGATATCAGGTCTGTGCATATGAGATGGATATGGTTACCAGGTTGTAGGAAAGACGCCAACATGTTTATAAGACTGGATTTTATAGACACATCAGAGTTGAGCTACCCCGTTCCACATGCTGTTCTAGACCCGACCCCAGCCCACACCCTGGGTGGCCAGGCGTGGTCTCTCACCATTACGGTCGGTGAACCCCCAGCCCATGGTTCTACACAGGGACCCGGGAAGGAAATTTTCATCAATAGTGGGCAGGACAACAGGGGACACTGTCTCGTCGATACGTGCCGGGGTGGCCAGCTTCACAAGGGCAACGTCACTGCGTATGGTACCCAACCGGAACTTGGGGTGCCTAAAAATCTGAATGTGAGGAACAGGAGGAGGATATGAGATGAATGAATTCTGGGCACCACTTCAGAGCACACAGACCAGGGCCGAGAACTGAGCAACGAGGCCACCTTCCAGCTCATGTCGCTGAGTGGACATCTGCCCCTACCCCTCATCTGAGCATCCGCAGAAGGTCCAGTGGGGTCTACGTACCTGGGCAATGTTCAGGATCTGGACACCATCCTGGGAAGCGTGTCGATCATAATGGCCAGCAATAACGAAGGAAGATGTCCTAGGGGGAGCAAGTGGGTAAGGACTAAGTGGGGGGGGTCACTCCCCTCCCTCATCCCTAGGGCCCGTCCTGGCCTCACGTGATATTGCAGTGGGCGGCGGTGACCACCCAGGATGCGCTGATCAAGGAGCCCCCACAGTAGGAGATACCAGTAGGACTCTGTAGGAAGAAGAGAGGGTCAGCACTGGCAGGACACAGATACACCCATCTGGGTAGCCACACCCCCATATTACCAGTACCCCAGTGTGACCCCATTCAGGAGCAGACTGCCCTCACCTGCAGAGACACGTGCCAGGGCCAGGAGTCAGGAGGAGCGTCCACCCCATTGATGATCCTGGGTGTAATGCTCAGCTCCGGGTCACTGGCAGGGGCCCCAGAGCCTGGGGTCACGGGGGAGGGAGGAGGGGGGAGGTGCAGTCAGTCTGCAGTAACCTGCTTGCACCCTCAGCCAGCACAGCACCACCCACACTCCCTCCTGGCACCCAGCACCTAGACTGGAAGACACACCCCTGCCTGCTGGCCTGTCACCCCCCAGGGATGCAGAGGGATAGGCGGCTCCATCCAGGGCCTCCTGTCTAGAGAAGCAGACACAGGCGGAGGAATCAGGGACCCTGCTCCCCACCCCACAAGTCCCTACTAACTCCTACTCAGCCTCCTCTGATTCCCCAGGCAATTTCCAAAAATGGGAGCAAACACTGCATACCACAGGCTAAGGGGGGGAGAGAGGGGAGCAGGTGTGGAATTAAAAACAAAACAAACCCAAGTCCAAAGGAAATCTCTCCTTAAAACGTTCAGGGGATGTGACTTCTACCTGTTTACACTCTGGGTTTACTATTCCACAATTTGATTTTTGTCTTCATTACGTGCATTAGGTTATTAACTATTTGAGGTATAGGACACTGACTCCTCCATACAGAGACACACAAAGGAGAAGAGAACAGGAGGAGGGTGTTCAGAAAGGAAAGAGTCGCAGGGCCCCTGGCATGTGCAGGACCCATCTGCTGGGTCAGGACACGGGAATCCCCAGCAGCCCAGGGGAGTGAGAACTTGGCCACAGGAAAAAAGGGGGTAGGGCCAGCCCCTCCCACAGCCAGGGCATCCCCAGGATCCCCCAGGCCTTGCTCCAGGCAGCACCTGCCCCTGCTGGGAAAGGGACATGGCCCGGCCACTCCCTCCAGCTGGAGACTCCAAACATGTCCTCCTCATCTTTCTCATAAGAACAGAAAACCCCCAGCAGGAGCTGTGAGCGGCGCCCCCTGCAGGCGCGTCCTAGCAATGCAGGGGCTGGTCCCTGTGCAGGGAGGGACCTGAGGTCTCACCCCAGTGGGGACAGAGCTGTGACAGGCACAGGGAGGGGATACAGGGAGGGGCTCCCCCACAGAGCCCGCTGTTCTGGGTGAGCCCCAGGGCGTGAGTGTGTGAAGCCTGCACAGAGTGACAGGTGGGGACTCAGCAGAGGCCCCTTCCCGGAGGAATGGGGAGAGCAGGGGGCTGCTGAGCCTGGTGTGGGGGTCAGAGAAATTACTAGAACACACAGAAAAAGGTTATTTTTCCTAAACCTGACCACCTAATATAGAATTCTTGTTTTGGATGTCAATCATTTTGCAGTGCCCTACGCTAAGTAATATCCCTGGAAGCAAGTACTGGGGGTCTCTCCTTTGGGTCACAACTGAGCCACTTCCTAGGCTCCATCCTCTGAGGCATAGATGGTTCTGCTCCACGCCCAGCACAACAGTGAAGACGCAGGGAGCCCGGCAGGGCCGCTCTCCCCATGAAAATTCAGGCTGAGGGGCAGGAGGGCATTCCTCCGCTGGACTCCGGCCTCACCCCCACAGAACCCCATAGTCCACCTAAGGCAGTTGTAGTGTAACTACTGGAGGCTCAGAGACCTCTTCCCAGTTCTCCTCCCACTATTGGCTGGTCCCCCGAACCTGAAAACTCACCAAAGGCATCCTGCATGAGGGTGACGATGGTGAAGAGCCAAAGGAAGACCATGGCGGTGCAGTCAGGGAGGGGGCTGGCTGGCTGCTGAAGGGCTCCTTTTATATGCCGGGGAGCCTTTGTCCCGCCCCAGCCCTCTGGGCCTCCCTGACCTGAGGGTCACCCTCCCCATGGTCAAACCTGTCCTGGACAGGCTCAGCCCAGGTCACCCCAGCACCAGGGAAAAGGGCAACTGCCTGGCTCACTGTCACCCATCAGCCTCAGCAGCCCCCGGGGGGAGCTCCCAGCTGTGGGCCCCAGAGGCCCTGGGCCCACCATGGGGGTAGCGGGTGCTCATCAGGGACTCATCTACAGGGGGGCTCACCCAGGTGTCTGGGGCACCCAGGACTCAATATCTTGCACACCCAGAGCCCAGGACTTCACCTGCTTCTGACTGCAAAACTCCCTGAAGCCAGCGACACACAGCAGGCCCAGCCCCTCAGGGATGGCCTCAGAATCAGCCCAGACACGCAGCCTGGAGCGCAGGAGGCAGGACAGTACCTCACGGGCTTAGTCCGGTTCCCTCTTTCTTGGTAATCCATATCACATGACCTGTCATTATATAAACCTTATATTGCTTACAACGGAGGCTTTGAAACCTCATCAAGGAGCAGAAGGCAGGAGGCCCGGGTAGGGGTGTGCTTAGGAGCCCCCTGCCCTACCGGGGCTACAGGATCTCAGCCTGTCCAGACACCCCAAGTTTCTGGTGTTTTCACGATGAATTGCTGCTGTCAGAAAGACTGGAAAAAATGCTTGAGTTTTTACCTTATTTTTTTAATCCCATGTTACCTGCATTTGGAGAGTCATTGTTGTTTTTTCCCCATGTTGTTCTTAACCAAATCCCCACCTCCCTCATTTGGGTGAACAGCCCACCAGCCCACTTTTTTTTTGTCAACTATAAAATGGTGGTAAATTGTGTATCTCGGGGATCGCAGACCCGGGACAGAGAAAGACCTGAGTCCCAGAGACGTGAGTGAGGGCTGAGCCCCAGGCTTGTGTCCACCTTTATTTTCCCATGGTCTTCATTGCTATCTTCTCAGCCTCAGCAATACAGAAAGCATCCTAAACACGACATAATTTTTTTTGGCTTTTCTCCAACTTCTTTTAATTTTTTTATTATTATAAGGTTATTTTTACATCATTTTGTGCCTTTTCCCATCTCAGTTGTAATCCCCATGGGCTTCCCACAACCAGTTCACCCTTGTGCCATCACCATAGTCCCATGCACTTCCTCCCCCCCCATTTTTTATCCTATTCCCCACTCCAGCCCCATAAAATGTCTCCGGTATGTAGCTGTTCATTATTATTTTTCTCCACCTTGGTCCTTTATGCTCCCGCTATGAGTGAAACCATCCAGTATTTTTCTTTTTCTTT